CTGCTTTGACAGAACGTCTGTTTGGTGGGATCTCCCCTTTTGGATATAGGGACAAGAAACCTTGAGAAACCGTTTGGAACTTCGGTAACCTGTAAATTTGATTTTAGAAGTTTTGTTTGCGCCAGCAGTGTCTAGGACATCATTATGGGCAACTCATAGAGAGCTCTATTCCATCTTGCAGCCCTTAGGGTATATTTTGTAGAATTGGGAACTTTTATCCATGTTTCTTTCTTTCTTTTTTTTTTTTTTGTAGAGGGTTTTGCTATAGGGCGTGTGCACTCGCCAGACAGAGAGAGAGAGACAGAGAGTTAGAAAATGAAAAATCACCCCCCAGGGGGGATGGCCACGCTGCAATCCCTTCTCCTCTATTCTCCTCTCGGGATCTTGGGCAGGCACGCACATGCACCCGGCATGAGTTTAAGCCACCGGGTCTGGGACTCGAACCACAGTCGACTACGTGGGAGTCCAGAGACATAGCCATTACGCTAACTGCTAGTCCCACTTTTATCTGTGTTTCTAAGGAAAGGAAAAAAAGATAACTCATGTAACATTTTCTGGCTCCAATATTCCCTAGGATCCAGGGAACAGGGGCCAAAGAATTGGTGTTTAAATTAGGTAACTATTTATCAATTAGAATTGTTATGTGGGAAAAAATAAAAATAACATGCTTAGAATTTTAGTTAGAGGGTCTGCTTGCTAACCCTCTGTGAAAAGAAATAAGCATCCCTTTATATCAGTAACGTCAAGAGCAGGTGTAAACAGTCTTTTCTGATGCTACCCCTCTGCCTTTTCTTAGAACAGGAAAAGGGGATTTGAAGGGCAACCCCTGGCCCAGAAAGGCAAGGTTCTTTGCATCTTCTCCCCTTACCCTCTCTTAGCTAACTTCAGATCTCCTTTGCCCTTCAGAGTGTACAACTTCCAGTAATTTGGCCTTTCTTGAAGGAGCAGTTTGTGTGGCTCCCATGTGCACAGGTATACGCCAAAGTGTGTGCCTTCTCCTTCGCTAACATGCCTCTGTGCAGTGGTTTTTTAGTGAACCTCAGGGCGATTTCCTTGGCCCCTATCGATTTGGTGTGGTTAGCAGGGTGAACCAAAGCTGCTCTGCTCTGTGGAAGTCACAGGCAAGAGAACTCAGCACCTGACAAGCCGGCAAAAATGGGTAAGAACTTCTTGCCAGCCAGACTCCTGCTCTTTGTGAAATTCAGTTCATAGATGATAAATATCATTGTTTAGTTTCTTTTCTACCCTAAGGTTAATGGGAGAGGGGTTCGGCAGGTGGTGTGGTGGTTAAGGGTGCTGGACTCCCACATGGCTGACCGTGGTTCAAGTCCTGGGCCTGATTGCTTGCTTTCTCACTTTCTCTCTCTTACTCTGCCCCCTCTGATCAAATTAAAATAAATAAAGTTAAATTAAAAAAAAAAAAGATTAATGGGAGAAAGGGATTTGTATGAAAGAGTTGGTTCTGCTTGGGTATAGTGACCATAGTGTCTTTCTTTTAAAAGGATTATCTTATTTAACATTTATTTATTTATTATTAAATTTAATCAGAGAGAGGGACAGAGAAGGAAAGTGAGAAAGCAAGCCACCAAGTCTAGGACTTGAACCATGGTTGGCCACATAGGAGTCCAGCACCTTTAATCACCATGCTTCCTGCTGGACCCTCTTTTTTTTTGTAAGAGGTTTTTGCCTTAGGGTGTGTGCGCTCACCAGAGAGAGACAAAGACAGTGAGAGGGAAAGTGAGAAGTCACACCACACCACACCACCCCCCTATCATGGCCATGCCGCAAACCCTTCTCCTCCATTCTCCTCCCGGGATCACACACACAAGCCTGGTGTGATTTTGAAGCCACCTGGTCTGGGGCCTGAACCGTGATCGGCCATGTGGGAGTCCAGTGACTTAACTGCTAGGCCATCTACTGGTCCTCATAGTGTTATTCTGGTGTAAGTAATCATTGTTTTCCCCCTACCTGGAAATGGTTCTCTATTTCTGCATCATATATCATAAGGAGGGCAGAACATGGGCCTAGAACCCATGATACCCATTGTTCAAACTGGACCCCACAGGCTGGCAAATTTTGCAGTTCTCAGCAGACCAACACCTATCTGGAAAAACTTTGCTGTGGGTCCCCCCCACAAAACTGGATAAGGTTTTTCTGTCTTATATCTTTGAGAGCTTGATCTGTGACCTAATAAGAGTTCTCTCTTGGTCCCTGCCATCTCAGAGCGTGATTTACAGGTGGCCAGCCCGAAAAGACTGGGAACATAAGCCATGTAAGAGTTCATGGGAAAAAAAAATTTTTAAAAGGACCAGCAGTTAGCGTAATGGCTATGTCTCTGGACTCTCATGTAGTCGACCGTGGTTTGAGTCTCAGACCTGGTGGTTTAAACTCACACCAGGCACATGTGTGTGTGTGCCCAAGATCCCGAGAGCAGAATGGAGGAGAAGGGATTGTGGCGTGACCATCCCCCCTGGGCGGCGATTTCTCGCTTTCTGTCTTTCTGGTGAATGCACACGCCCTGTAGCAAAAATCTCTCCCAAAAAAAATAAATAAATAAAAGTTCATGGAATATTTTGTATCAAATATGTCAAACTCTCAATAACTGGTCATAATAAGGAGTCTCATCCATAAGGGGTTTTGTAGTCTGTTCTTTGTTGACTGGTTAGTGGTAGGGACTATTTGTGACAACAAGGGCCATTTACTTTCTTAGTTCTTTTGTGGGAGTGAATCTGGGGGGATCACTGGAGGAGGATGTTCCCTATTCTATGCCCCCTTTGGATGGTCTTTGCTCTTCATGAAGAGGTTTTGAATTAAGTCGTTATTGTTACTGAAATAAGTAAACCTTTGGAGATTCTGCGGGGTACCCTCTATTAGTAATCTTCTTCCTCTTTTCTCCCATAAACAACCTGTTACCTACTTTCCATCTAGGAGATGCACAGGGTCTTGGGCCTTATGTAGAAATGGCCAATTAAGTTTGGGACCTCCAAGTATGGCTGGTCTAAACATGGATTTTTGCACCTATGTGGCCTGACAAGGTTTTTCCTGTTTTCTGTTTATCTTTGGGAGCAATCTGGATCTTGTTTCATTAGTTAGGTTTGAATTTGATTAAATTCTGTTTGATTTTCAAAACATGATAAAGGTGTGTGTGTGCGTGCATGTGCACACGTGTATGCAGACATTTAACCTTACCTGTAGGAGAGAAGGGGCAATTAAAATTGTATTCAGAAAGAAAGAAACCTGTTCATTGAGACAGAACCAGAAATGTTTGCTATTTACCTGGCTAAAGAAACTAATGATAGGGACCAGCAGTTAGCGTAATGGCTATGTCACTGAACTCCTATGTAGTTGACCGCAGTTCGAGTCCTGGACCCGGTGGCTTAAAATCACGCCGGGCGCATGTGCATGCGTGCCCAAGATCCTGAGAGGAGAATGAAGGAGAAGGGACTGTGGCGTGGCCATCCCCCCGGGGGGTGATTTCTTGCTTTCTGTCTCTGTCTTTCTAGTGAACGCATGTGCCCTATAGCAAAAACCTCTCAAAAAAAAAAAAAAAAGTAAGAAAGAAAGATTGCCTGGTACCGTAAACAGCTCTGCCTGGCAGGTAAGTAATGTCACTTCCTGACAAACCCCAAAACTTTCAAGTACGGTTCTTTTTTTTTTTTTTTTTTTTGGAGAGGTTTTTGCTATAGGGCGCGTGCACTCGCCAGAAAGACAGAGACAGAAAGCGAAAAATCACCCCCCAGGGGGGATGGCCATGCCGCAGTCCCTTCTCCTCCATGTTCTCCTCCATTCTCCTCTACATACATGCGCCCAGTATGAGTTTAAGCCACCAGGTCCGGGACTCTAACCGCAGTCAACTACATGGGAGTTCAGCGACATAGCCATTTCGCTAACTGCTGGTCCCCAGTACGGGTTCTTAAAGGTACACTCAGATGGTGAATTCCTGACTTGGCTCAGTAGCCTTGGAAAGCTTTCAAAAGTGTCTAATCTGAGGTTCCTTATAAAAGGTTTCAGTAAAGCCGACTAAACTGATTAATGTTCTTATTGGGTTTCGTGCAAATAGCAGAGCAAATTGAGACTAAACTTATTTATTTACTTTTTTGCAAATAAGTTAGTTTTATTATGCTTCTCTTTGGTAAAAGGGGGAATGAAAAGAGAAAAAAAATTCAAAAGAAAACTATAGTGTACTTGTTACTAGATTTTCGCGATTTTAGCCCTGTCCCTTTTTTTTTTTTTATTTAGTTTTTAGTATCTACCTACTGTTTGGACAGAATCATACCTTTTTCCTGTCTTTAAGTCTGAAGCAAAAGTTTCCTAACATTTTAAAATTTTGATTCATTAAAGCTAAAACTGCTTTTCTTGAAATTTTACAGAGTAAGGATGGTCAATTTGATAGCCTCCCCAAATTACAATAGCTGGTATATAAATAATCACTGTAAATGCAAACCACAGACCAGGAAATTCTATCAGATCCCCTCAGGGTGCTGTTTTCACTGTATTTCATTGGCAAAATTTGCCTTAGACCATAAAATAACTTTCCATTATGTATTGCTTGTTAGAGAGGAATTTGCAGGATGGCAACATCTCATGTTGCGCTTAGAAATCTTAGGTAAAATAAAATTCATCTGGGTAAATAAAGTGATAAGAAACCTGTGAAAACAGTTTTGAAACCTGGCTATCTTCTTTGTTGTGCATGGTCATTAAATGTGCTTTCAGATTTGGGGACATCACAGTGGAAGCTGGTGCTAGCATAATGGTATTGGAAAACTAAAGGCAGAGTTCTGAGGACTTTGAAATCAAAGTATGTCACTTCTTCCAATCCTGAAACTCTGTTCCCATTCAGCAAGAAGCAGCCGTATGGTCATCACCCATTTCCCCTCAGGACTGAGAGGTTTTTCAAAGAATGGGAGGATTGAAACCGAGCAGGATCCCCGAAGAGGGATGGGTCCTCAGTCTTCCTTCCTGTTAAAGAAAAAGTAAGAATTTCCCAAACTGAAAATTAATAAGGGTTGAACTAAAAGTAAAGTGTATTTTCTAAGGTTCTTGGCATAGAAATGTATTTACATTGTAATAGCCCAGATTGAAAAGTAAGACTTCAGACTTTGGTTATGATAATGAAAGGATATTGGCCATGAATAAAGGCCATTTGACCTCGAAAACTCTCACTTAAAGGAAATATAAGGTCTTTGGTTCAATATGGAAGATGTTTTGTAGGATGGAGGCTGCTGGCTGTGAGCTCAAAGACCCCAGGCTGAATGGCTTCAGAAACCTGAACAGAAATTTGATTATCTAAGCCCTTGACAATCAAAAATATGCATGAGGTGATCACGGCCTCTGGAACCAGTCACTGAACTGATCATGCGCCTGGGACCTCTGCCCCTAATTTTGCCCTGAAAAACGCATGTGAGGAACACCTCCGGGAGACTGGATCTTTTCCGCATGAGCTGCCCGCTCTCCTTGCTTTGCAATAAGCTGTACTTTCCTTCATCACACCGTGTACCTATAGTTCGGTTTTATGGCACCCAGGCGAGGGCACCCGATTTGAGTTCGGTAACAGATAGAACTTCACAGGTCAAAGACTTCTGTATGCTAGGAGAATACTGGGGGGGAATGATATCCAGATCGGGCCCAGCCAACTCACAACTTCAGAATTTGCTCTGTTATGCAGAGTTGGTTTCAGGTTTGTGATGACCAATAGCTGCCATAGTCAAGGTCCCAAGTAAGCACCCAACTCTGTTCCCAATTCCTTTCTCGAGTCCACTGCGAATAAGTTCTATTTGTCTGGGGCTCTCAAATTCTACACTCCTGGTTTTACTTGTCCACTAGGCTAGAAATTCCTGAACTCATAGGGCTCAGAGTTCACATCTCTGTGGAATGTGCTTTCTGGTGAAAGACCCATTTCCCTGGTTTTTACTGTCTCTCCCTTTTCCCACTGGGCAAGAAGTAGACAGGGGAAGCCTATGGATTTTCTCCACAGATACTGTGTGGTGTCTGAGAGGCCTCCTGGCCATGAGGAAAACCAAGAAGAGAAGGGCAACTCCCCTGTGCATTAGTAGAAGATTCTACTCACATGAAGTTCCTGAGTCTCTTTTCCAAACACAAATATAAACACAAAGATTTCACTGCTTGAGTGTGTGTGGGCACAACTGATGCTCACATGCACACCTGTGTCCATGGTTAAGGCCCCAAGGTGTTCAGTGAGCATGGCTAAGAATGGTATGAGGTGGGGACAGAGTTTCCTCCGTTTTGGAAAACTTGTTCAGGGAAGTTCCAGGTAGACAAAAAGTCCAGAGATAAGTTTCTCTGATCTTGTTCAGATCTGACATAGCGGTAGCCCAGCCACTTCATGGTGTCACCACAGATGTTCTGAAGTCGAGAAACCTTTTCATAAGGCAAAGACCAGCGCCACGCCTGCGAGACGTTGAGGGCATCCCTGGCACTTGTGTGGAAGGCGTGATCACCCATGCCCTTCCCCCGGGTGATGTTGTACACCCAGGTCTGGAGATGGGGCAAGAATTTCAACCCCACGTAGTCGTACAATCGGGAAGTCTGGGCCAGGGGGGCCCGGACCAGGTCCTCGTAGCGTAAGAGCAGGTAGCGCTGCTGCAGGACCTTGGGCAAAGACTGGATGGCCTTGTAGATGTCCAGCTGGCTTTGGCAGATGATCTGCATCACATAGTAGGGTTGGTCCTCCTTCTTGAGAGTGTACCAGTGCTGTCCCATCACAATGCGACTGTCAAGCATGAGCTCCCCCGTGGTGCGTTCCCGGGAACGGAACACAGCCCGAGGGTCCCGGACCAGGTGCACGATGTGCAGGTTGAGGGAAGGGTCTGTCAGCAGTGGGTAGAGGGACTGCAGGTTGAAAATGCGTACCTCCTTGAGCACCACGTGACTGTAGGAGCGGCAGGCCTCCTCCACCACCTCAAAGGGCTGTCGGCTACACAGGAGCTTGCAATGAGCCTTGGGGATGATCTTCCCCCGTGGGAAGAGGCTGCAGGCAGGTGGAGAACACAGGGCCCGGCTGTCTTCCCATTGAAAGAGGCTGGACTGACTCCGCGGACCAGGTTTCATGTAGGCATCAAAAACACTCATGTCGCATAGAAAGACAGCCCGAAGCAGATCCCGCACCGCCATGTGCAGGCTCCTGGCAGTGCTCTGTGTGAAGGTCATCCACACGTGCCAGGCGGGCTCCATCAGGTAGAAGACATCTGGGTGCTGCCCAAAAAGCTCCCCTATAAAAGAGGAGCCAGAGCGCCAAGAAGACAGGACCAGCACATGCACGGGCTTGGGCTCCTCCTGCGTGGACTTGGAGTGCACGTTGTGGTCATATACATGAAAGACCAGAGCGAAGATCAGCATCTGGGAAACCAGGAACAGGAGCAGCCTCATTTTTTTGGGCACATTCATGCTGCTGACGTGGAAGGCCTTTAAGGAACAAGAAGAAGGGGCTGGGTTAGGCTGATGCTTTGGTGCCTGCCCTACTCCTCTTCCAAGCAGAGCCACGTTCCCCTTGACGTTCACCAAGGAGCAACATAGAAAGCTAGAACGTTCCTATAACCAGCTGCACGAATCCCTCTCCAAATCAATTCCTGTCCCTTACAGTGATGTGTGTCAAGAAGTATGTTTGTCTGGGGGTCTCTAATTCTGTGCTCCTGGTTTTTCTTGTCCACTAGGCTACTGAAAAATCCCTGAACTCAGCCATATTTAATCAACCTGGGAGAATGGCTCCATCATGAAGACTCGGTGACTGCACGTCTGCACACAGGCTACTCAGGCAAAGCTTACATCCATGTGGCCCAAGTCTTGGTTGAATGCCTTCTGACTCCACCAGAAGCAAAGCGCAAAGAGCCAGTAAGCCAGGTGGCAAGGAACTGCCTCCAGGCCATTGCTCATTCAACTCCCCATCTTGAGGAACATCACCACAAGGTCATTTCTCAGCCCCCTTCCTCATTTCCATCAAGCGCTTCAATCCCTTAGAGCTGCAGGCTATACAGCTGCCTGGCTTTAGTTTCGAGTTGTTTCCTTAGTGGCACAGCCAAGTCTCACAGTGCCTGTCATATAGTCCCCTCTGATTTGGTCTTATCCTGTGGGACTAGCACCTCGGAGAGCTTATTCCATGCTGACTTCTCTCTGTGGTGGTAATAAACTATCTGAGAGACCCGCAGATGGTGTAGTGGTTACATCACTGGACTTTCCCACATGGCTGACTGTGGTTCACGTTTCGGACCTGGTGGCTTGAAAATCATGCTGGGCATATGTGTGTGCATGGCCAAGATCCTGGGAGGCGAATGGAAGAGAAAGAATTGCAGCCTCGCCATCCCTCCCTCTCACTCCCCCCAGGGGTGTGTGTGTGATTTTCACTTTCCCTCTCACTGTCTCTCCCACTCCAATGCATGCATCCTAAGGCAAAAATTTCTATAAACAAATAAATACACAAACTATCTGAATCCATTTCAGCAGAATCATTGCCTCTTAATCAGCTGATTCTATGGAAATGTGCAAGCTAACCTAAGAGTAGACCTTAGGTTGCATCCCTATCCATAGTAATGGTACCTGTGGCCTGTTCACTACTGGGCTGCTGTTTGGGAGTGCTGGACCACTTGACAGAACCTAATCAGGGCTGCTCAGTATGGTTGGGCAGGTTGCATACAGCGCAGCCATCTCATCAAGAATTTTGATGTTATTTTTTAAAATTTACTATAGGTGACTGTAAAGTATCTTGGACTAAAACAATATACTGACATAATCTTCTAGTTGTTGGGTGTTTAATATGTAGAGAAAGGGAGTTTCACTTTGAAATTCACACTGGAGGTCATCCAGGTTGCTGGCGACCTTGAACGCATTCTTCACAAACAGCGCTCTGGCCAGTGAAAAGATCCTCATCTGCCCGTTCCCACCTTGCTTCCAGACAGCAAGTGGGTTCATTTTCCAAATGTGCCCTTTCAGCTGCTTTATGCATACTTAAGAAATTAAAATGTATATGTATTCTTATTTTTTCTCTTTAATGCATAAAAAAATTAGCAAGTTATTTACATGCATCACACTTTGCTTTGTTTTTCTTTTTTGTTACTCATTAATATGTCTTGGGGGAACTTTCCATGGCAGTACATAAAGTGTTTCCTTATTCCTTCCTTTTCACTGCGTAGCATTCTACTATGATATCCCACCATTTATTTAGCCAGCTTCCTCACTGATGGGCCTTTGGGTTGTTTCCAATTTCATGCTAGTTCAGATACTTGAATACACCTGTCAAGAGAAATAACCAACTCTGCAAAAATAATAATTAATCTGGTTTATTTTTAAGCATGAATTTGTGAGACCTAGGCTGGAGAGGAGGCAAAATATACCCCTCTCTCGGGGTGATCAGGTACAAGGGTTTCTTTTTATTTGGTTTTGAGAGTGAGACAGGGCTTAGAATTTCCTTTGGTTTGATCCAAAATGCAGGACATGTGGAAGGGGGGCTTGTAGGTTTTTGGATAGGGATTAATAACAGAGATAAGGGGGCTTGTATACAGTTACAAGATACTGTCCCAAGGACAGAATGTTGGAGGAGTCTCTTTAACAATGAATCAGAATGGTTTATTAGTGATCGTGGGCATGACTCACCTATTACAGATACGCTATGCCAGAGACAGGATGTAGGAAGAGTTTTGTTATTAAATGAGCAAAATGGTTTGTTAATGTCTGTGGGCATGACTCACCCTAGGCCCTCTAGAAGGGATTTTAGATTTTCTGTCCTCACACCATTGCACATGTATGTAAGGTACATCCCCAGAAGTGCTGAGACAAGAACTACATGCATATGTAGCTCTGATATCTATTCTCTGTCAGCCTTTCTACCAGACAGAAACCATCCTCTATGCCAAGTGCCAGAGATATTAGATAGTGGATTTTAGAGGAAGACCGGGGAAGCCACAGATGGGACTCAGAGTGTGTAGCTTGCTTCCTGAAGAGGTAGAGTTTGTGCTGCCAGTTCATGGGCTTTCCTTGGAAGTCCCCTGAACCTTCTGGTAAGTGTGTGATGACCCAAGCCAAACTTTGAATGGTAGTGGCAGAAAAGCCCTTTCCCCTCCAATCGTTACAACAATGCTTTTCCTCTGGCCATGCCTAAAGGATCCGGCGAGGATCATCTGTCCTTCCTGGCCAAACTCCACCAGGGCAGAGTCAGTGAATGGCAAATCCTGCCTTGTAGTCTTGGCCTTGCAGATGAGAACAGGACCAGCTAAGATACACTCCTAGTTCTTAAAACTTGGGTCCACGAGGAAATGATTAGAGACTGGGCCACAATTAATAATGACCCAAGGATGCCCTTCTCACCCCCAAAGACTGAAGAGGTGACTCTAGCAAGAGAGCTTCTCTGAAGGGCAATGGGAGTGTGAGAAAATTTTGGAACAAAGATAGGAAACAATGAAACGGAAGAGATAAGAGAATAGGAAGAGAAGATCTTGACCTGTGTATAAGGAAACTGCAATAGAATTTTATAAGCAGGCCCTAGAATCACTTGAGGAAAAAGCTAACATTTCCTAGGGATTAGGAAAGTAGACCTTCCACAGGTTCCCCCTCCTTCTCTCATCCCAGCTTTGGGCCAACTCTGCATCCGGTGTGGAGCTCCAGGGCTTTGTGCCCTCTTTGCCTGCCAACTGCTTCTGGCCTCAAGCCCATGTCCTCTCCAAGGTGGAGCTGGAGATGGGCCTCCTAATTCTCCAGTTGTCCTCAGGCTTTAGTTACCCACAGTTTTCAGGAATTCCTGTGACAACCCTCGGGCTTCTTTTTCTGCTTTGTTTGCCACGAACACGTCCTTGGTCAGAAACTACACTTCTGTAACATGAGTCCATCCTTTGTCATTGGGCTCAAGGCTCATCTAGAGGGACCAGCACGGGGTGTAATGGTCACGTTTGCTGGACTCCCACATGGCTAACTGCAGTTCGAGTCCCAGACCCAGTGGCTTGAAACTCATACTGGGCATGAGTGTGTGTGTGCCCAAAATCTCAGGAGAGTCGAGAAGAAGGGATTGCGGCATGGCTATCTCCCCGGGGGGTGATTTCTTGCTTTCTGTCTCTCTGGTGAGTTCATGCACCCTATAGCAAAAAAAAAAGTCTTTCCAAAAAAAAAATCTAGATGGGGCCAGCAGGTGGCATGGTGGTTAAGGGCCACTTGACTCCCATATGGCCAGCCACAGTTTGAGTCCCAGACCTGACAACTTGCTTTCTCACTTTCCCTCTCTCTCTTTATCCCTCTCTGGTGAAATTTAAATAAATAAAGTTTAATAAAATAATTAAAAAAAATAACATCTAGGATCCAAGCAACACATGATGAGCTGACGAGACAACTGAGGGTCTTGGGCAGAGCTCATCTCTGCAGAGACTATTCTCAGCAGCAGAGCCCCTGGGAGGAGAAAAGCCATGCAAGTCACCAGGGTGCTCAGGGAGGCTCAGTGAAAAGTAAGCTCTTGGGACCAGCAGTTAGCGTAATGGCTATGTCGCTGGACTCCCACGTAGTTGACCGTGGTTCGTGTCCCAGACCCGGTGGCTTAAAACTCACGCCGGGCGCTTGTGCGTGCATGCCTGCCCAAGATCCTGAGAGGAGAATGGAGGAGAAGGGATTGCAGCGTGGCCATCCCCCCTGGGGGGTGATTTCTCGCTTTCTCTCTCTCTGTCTCTCTCTGTCTGGCGAGCGCACGCGCCCTATAGCATAAACCTCTCAAAAAAAAAAGAAAAGTAAGCTCTTGGGCGGGCCCCGTAGCACTAGGTTAAGGGCTATAAAGTGGGACTCAGGTGGCTTAAAAAAAAACCACGTTGGACAGGTATGAGTGTGTGCCCAAAATCCTGATGGAGAAATAGAGAAAAACGGATTGTGGCATCATCACACCCCACTGGGGGGCAGGGGGGGGTGCTTTCTCTTTCTCTCTCTAACCCTGATGAGTGTACATACCTTCTAGCACTATAAAAAATAAAACGATTATTGAAAAAAAGTTGCAGGGTGACAGTCTACTCTGCACTAACCAGTTCAATTACTAGGTAGGCAAGGCAAAAGAAAGAACATCATATCATGACCCCAAAGAAACTAATTTAAAAACATGTGGCCCCAAGGGATCAGCAGATGGCTTAGCAGTGACGTTGCTGGAGTCCCACATGGCTGACCACGGTTTGCGTCCTGGACCCAGCAGCTTGAAACTCATACCAGGTGCATGTGTGTGTGTGCCCAAAATACCAGGAAGAGAATGGAGGAGAAGGGATTAGGTGTGGCCATCTCCCCTGGGGAGTGATTTCTTTCTCTCTCTCCCTCTCTCTCTCTCATTGTGTCTTTTTCTCTCCAAAGAATGTATGTGCCCTCAGGCAAAAATAAATAAATAAATAAGAATAATTAATTTGTTAATTTTTTTAGAATGTTACCCCAGTAATGGGTGAGTGGTATCATCTTAGAGGACAAAGCACAATCTTTGAAGAGTTGTGAGAATGTGGGACCAGCAGTTAGCGTAATGGCTATGTCGCTGGACTCCCACGTAGTCAACCGAGGTTTGAGTCCCGGACCCAGTGGCTTAAACTCACGCCGGGCGCGTGTGCGTGCGTGCCCAAGATCCCAAGAGGAGAATGGAGGGGAAGGGAATTGCAGCGTGGCCATCCCCCCTGGGGAGTGATTTCTTGCTTTCTGCCTCTCTGTCTCTGTCTGGCGAGCACACGTGCCCTATAGCAAAAACCTCTCAAAATATATATATATAAAAAAAAAGAGTTGTGAGAATGTTAGTATCCTGAAAATACACTACCAAAGGGTGGTGACAGGGAGACCCTAGGTGAGGTCCAGGGCCCAGGAAGGCACAGGATGGGTGACCTGATTATAGAGCAGCCTGATTACAGAGGGCCGGATTATAGTTATTCCCTAAACTGGAACCATGTAGCCTTTAAAAACAAAAGAGGGAGGGAAAATAAAACGGGGAATTCTGAGAAAGAAACAAACATACTAATTTAAGAAGCCTGGCTTCCGGTCACTTGGTGCATTTCCAACTCAGATTCCCTGGTGAGACTGCCCAGCAACCAGAAACGAGATGGTTAAAGATACCCTGCAGAAACTGAGAGAGAAGAGCTGGGGTGGGAGATCAGCATCCTCACCAATGACCTGTAGACCCAGGGTAACTTGCGGCACTAAACCTGGCCAAAGAGTGTCCATACGACAGAGGCTGACCAGGCTGAGAGCTCCGGGAGCCCTGGACCTGAGTCCTTGTGCTTGGCACACAGTATGTGCTCAAGGACTATCTGTCAATGAATGACCAAATAAATATGTGTAGACTTTTTATTTATTTAACTGTTTGAGATGTCTCTATTGGGACTCGTGAAGGAAGATTCTATTGTTACTTTGTCCTATAAAAATATTTCAATTTCTGAGACCAGCAGTTGGCGTAATGGCTATGTCACTGGACTCCCGTGTAGTTGACCACCGTTTGAGTCCCAGACCCGGTGGCTTAAATTCATGCTGGGTGCGTGTGCCTGCGTGCCCAAGATCCCAAGAGGAAAATGGAGGAGAAGGGATTGTGGTGTGACCATTCCCCTGGGGGGTGATTTCTTGCTTTCTGTCTCTCTGTCTCGCTCTGTCTTTCTAGAGTACACACGCCCTATAGCAAAACAAAACAAAACAAAACAAAACAAAACACCTCTCCCCAAATATTTCAGTTTCTGTTAGAAAGTTCCAGGCTTATGGAAGCCCATACACGATGTAGGTCTCTCCTATCCTTAACCAATATGCTGGCCCTATACATTAATCTTATTTTACATTCGCATGCCATACCATAATTTTCAGAGTTCTTTTAGAGGTAGTCATGAAAACAATCCAATTAGGTATTTAGGACAGTGGGGAGCTGCTCCCCCATTTTTCAGAATACATAACCAAGTTTTAATTGATGGACTCATCTGCTGTCATAGCCCTGCCTTGATCAGAACCCAGGTCTTCTGAGCTCTGGTTTTCGGTGATCACATTATACCTCTCCTAAGCTAGAGACAGTCTGCAGCTCCCTGCACCGCCTGTGTTCCACGGCCGGCCGAGAGGGAGCCGGCCGGCCGAGAGGGAGCCGAGTACAGAAACTTGAGCTCCCAGGCCAGGATCTGAAGGAATCAGATGCGCCAGAGGACTGTCTACAAGTATGTATCAGAGCAGTTCTCCCTGAGCCTAGGCTTTTGGACTCTTTTAGGGGTGGAGCTGGCAAATACTGGGGAGCTGCTGGTAGGCAGCTTGTGGGGTTTTTAATTTTTTTCCAGAAAACTCCACAGGTGATTCTGATTCCTCCTCCCTCCCCCTCTTCCCATCACAATCCCCAGTGTGGCTGCCAGGGGTTATGTGATACTCTCCTTCCAGCAGCCCCGGGATGAGGGATGACGGCTGTACCTGGAGATGTTCACAGAGACAGTCTCTTACCTTGTTAATGGCTTCGGCTTCCCCACGGCTTCTGAGAGGCTCGGTGCTAGCCAGGCTGTGCACTTCTCCCCTCTGACTCACCACCTCCCTTCTCAGCTTCCTCCTCCTACTTGTGCATACCCATCTCTACTCTACTGCCCTCTCCCTTTTGCTGAAAAAAAAGGACCCACCTTTCTAGACAGTCTTGAGAAACCACTGGCTTCCAGGAAACGGTGACATTAGCAGCTTCCACACCTGAGAGAGCTGGAGGTGGGGAGACTACTCCAGGTGGGCTAGGAAAAGCAAAGAGGAAGCGTTCTCTCCTCGGGCTGAGACAGGATCCTGGAATGCTGGGTCCTTGAAGGCAGCTGTGAAGGTCAACTAACTCCCTCCAGCAGGGTGGAAAAGCAAAGCAACCTGGGAGAACTGAGTTGGGATCCATCGGGAAATCATGGGCAGTTACAGCCAGAATGCCCACAATATCTGAACCTCACTGTTATTCTTATCTCTGAGGAGAAAATGCGAAAATGATTTCTGCATCGCACCTGCCTGCTCACTCCACCCTGGCTGGAGGGAGGTAACATTTCTTAGCCTGTGTGTCATATTCAAATAGCTTCATCCTTCTTGCAAGAAGTAATACATATTTTTTGGAGGATATAGATATACTGGTATTTGGTTGGGGTGCAGAGAAAAAATAACCCCCTTTTTTTTTTAAAGAAAAAAAATCTCCCAAGGTATCGTTAATGATTATATTACTAGCTGCAAATCATATACCCACTCCGAGCTACTTTACGTGGTCGTCATGTGTCTAAAACAATAGGTGAATAAACGTAGATTGTTTCAGAATATAGATGTTGTAGACTTTCAAGTCAGAGATCCGGGCAAGTCTTTCTGCCTCTTCGAGGGCTAGAATATTAATTTAAAATAAGAGTGGTAATATCCTCCCTAAGTATTGCTGGGAAAGTTAGGGTAAATGCATGGCAAGCCCCTAACACAATATTGGGACAATATTAAGAGTCTTAAAGTGGTAGAATAGTAATCTCTCTCTCTTTTTTTTTTTTTAACTTAACTGCTGGCTCATTTTCCAGGATGTGGAAGAGCATGCGGGCAGGGAGTCCTGTGAGTCCTGGGATGATTTAGGACGTGCCTTTGTGATCGCCATCAGCTGAGTCACCTCGGGCGCAGCAGTGGACAAGAACCTGTGGTGTTTCCCCTGCCGATTTCGATGGTGTAGCCCGTGCTCCCTTCCCGTTTCTCTCTGGCACAGGGAAGAACAATCTCACTGTGCCGAGATGTAAACCAAAGAGCCAGAATTGGGCAATTGATGGTTCCGCTTTAATTCTTACTTTAAAAGTAATACTTGTGGGGGACCAGCAGTTAGCGTAATGGCTATGTTGCTGGGCTCCCATGTAGTTGACAGCGGTTCAAGTCCCGGACCCGGTGGCTTAAACTCATGCTGGGTGCATGTGCATGCGAACCCAAGATCCCGAGAGGAGAGTGGAGGAGAAGGGATTGTGGCATGGCCAACACCCCGAGGGGGTGATTGCTCGCTTTCTGTCTCTCTCTGACTTTCTGGCGAGCTCACATGCCCTGTAGCAAAAACCTCTCAAAAAAAAAAAA